GTGTGTGTGTGTGTGTGAGAGAGAGAGAGAGAGAGAGAGAGAGATACAGCCATATGTAAGGTTGAAATATGTCCATTGTAAAACATGTACACCTCACCTGCTTCAAGATCACCAACAGAGGTGTCTCAAGACTCCATGTCACCAAAGATACAGGAACCACAACAGCTTAAATGCAAGCATCACAATTCTGGAGTAAAATCACATGATATAAGAAACACAACTGGTTGCTTCCTACCTTCATTCTATGTATTTTCCTACTTCTTTCTCCAAATAACAAGCCAATAGTAGTGGAGAAACATAATGCAGTGAAATCAGAACATGTGTTTAAGTGGTACTATATATTAAGGAGGGAGAGAGAAATGACTGTGTGTGGAGGCAACATCATATTTCTTTGGACAACATATAGTTCTGTCCAAGTTAGTTTTGTATTTATAACCACAGAATCATAGAACTGTAGAGTTGAAAGGATCCTAAGGGTCACTGATGCCAAACCCTTGCCAGTGCATGAAATCAACTGCTAAAGTATGTCTGACAGGCCATCCAAACTCTGCAGAAAAATCTCTAGTGAAGGATTGTCCACCACCCTCTGAGAGAGGTGATTCCATTGCAGAATAGCTGTCACAGCTAGGAAGCTCTTCCTGATGCTTAATTGAAATATCTTTTCTTGTAATTTAAATTAATTATTTCTAGTCCTATCATCTTGGGCTGCAAAAACCAAGCTTGTTTCATCTTCCATATGTCACCTCTTCATATATTTGTAGATGCTATCATATTGTTTTCCAATTTTCTCTTCTCCAGGCTAAACATGCCAAATTCCTTCAACCTTTCTTCATTGGGCTTGTTTCCAAATCTTTTACCACTCTGGTTGTCCTCCTCTGGATACATCACACTTTCCCAATATCCTTCTTAAATTGTAGTGTCCATAACTGGACACAGTATTCTAGGCAAAGTCTGACCAAAGCAAAATAAAATGGTACTACTCTGTTTCCCTGAAAATGAGACCTAACCTGAAAATAATCCCTAGTATGATTTTTCAGGATGCTCATAATATAAGCCCTACTCCAAAAATAAGCCCCAGTTGAGTGAAACCACGGCCTCCACCATTGTGCAGCAACCAGAAGATGATGACAGGACTGTATTCGAATCAATGTAGATTGCAGTCATGGAAAAAAAAAAGACATCTCCTGAAAATAAGTCCTAATGCATTTTTGGAGCAAAAATTAATATAAGACCCTGTCTTATTTTCAGGGAAACAGGGTATTATGTTTCTTGATCTAGACATTAAACCTCTGTTGACACACTCTTGTATAGCATTTGCTTTTTTTGGCTGCCACACCACACTTTTGGTTCATGTTCAGCTTGTAACGTCCCTAGCATTTTTCACATGTACTACTTCCAATCCAGCTTTCAGCCATCCTATACTGATGCATCTGATGTTTCCTGTTGAAGGGCAGTACTTTACATTTTTCCTTGCTGAAATGCTTTTTTATCTATGTTGGCCTAGTTCTCTAACCTGGTAAGGTCATTTGGAATCCTCATTGTCTTCTGGTATATTAACTACTCCTCTGAGTTTGGTGTCATTTACAAATTTAATGAGCATCCCCTCTATGCCCTCATCCAAGTCATTTATAAAGATATTGAACAACATCAAGCCCAGGACAAAACCCTGTGGCATCTCACTTGTCTCTCCCATCCTGGATAATGATGGGCCACTGGTGACCATCAGTGTGGCCTGTTAATCATCTACAAATCAACTTAACTGTAGAACATCTAGCACATATTTTACAAGCCTGGACACAAGAATATAATGAGGGACTTCGTCAAAAGCCTTGCTGAAATCAAATAGACTACAACTACACCAGTCCACCCTTAAGCTTGTGACTCTATTTAAAAAAGAGAGAGAGAGAAGAATAGTCTGGCATTACTTGTTTTGAAAAACTCATGCTGAGTCTTACATATCACAGTGTCCTTTTCTAAGTGCTCAAAGATTGATTAATATTCATTCATTCATTCATTCATCTTGTACACCACTCCCATTAGCACTGGAGCACTGCTCTGGGCAGTTTACAATAAATACACATAATCAGAATGGAGAAGTATTCTAAAAACAATTTTACCACATAAACAATGGAACATTGCCAGATCAATGATGGAACTAAAAAATGAAAATAAAATAAAAATACCGTATTTTTCCATGTATAAAATGATACTTCCCCCCTAAAATCATTAGAGGAAAAATTGAGGATCATTTTGTACATGGAAGGAGGTGTAGGCAAAGGAGCAGCCGCGCTCGGTTGCCTCTCACGGCTGCCCAATGACTGCTGCTGCCGGATCGCCTCCTCCAGTGCCACTCCCGGGCTCTCTTCAGGCAGGGGACAAGGCGGCAACATGAGCTAGAGGTGAGCCCTGGCAGCAGGATGAGGTGATTGGATGGTGGCAGCAGCAGTCAATGGGCTGCCGCGAGAGGTGGCTGAGTGCGATTGCTCCTTTGCCTTCGTCTCCACCTCCTCCTCCTGCTGCCGCCTCTGCTGCTGGATTGCCTCCTCCAGTGCCACTCACAAGGCTCCCTTTGGGCAGGGGACAAGGCGGCAACCTGATCGGGTAGGGAGGCAGCAGGAGATGGAGGTGGAGCCACCCCTCGCGGCTGCCCATTGACTGCTTCTCTGCCTCCGGCAAGGGACAAAATTAGGTGGTCATAGTTTACATTGGGGGGGTCATATACACTGAAAAAATGCAGTAACAATAACCAGATGGCGATATACAAGCAACTCAACTCAGCTAGGATCAGAATGGAAAGTTTCCCTGAAAAGTAATGTCTTTAGTTGTTCCTTAAATATCAACAGGGAAGAGGCCAGGTGAAGCCCCTCTGTGAGCTGGTTCCACAAGGTTGGAGCACTCATGAATAAAGCCCTGCCTCTTGTAGATGATTTCTGGATGGGTCAGGCAATTGACATTGGGGAGAAACATTCCGACAAGTAATGTGGGCCCAAACCATGGAGGGCTTTACATGTAAGAGTCAAAACCTTGAACTTTATCTGGGACACAACAGGTAACTAGTGGAGGCATGCCATAACTGGGTTAATGTGATCAAATCTGCTCGCACCATCCACCAGTCTGACTGCTGCATTCTGGACCTGCATCCAGGTCAGCTTCAAGGGAAGCCCTTGATCTCTTCTAGATTCTTTCCTGGTATTGATGTCAAACTGATTGGTCCAAAGTTGGCTGGATCTTCCTGTTTCCCTTGTTTGAAGATGGTGATATCTCCTCACTTTAGTCTTCAAGATTTCTATCTGTCTCCAATAATTGTCAGAGATGATATGCAGTGGCTGTAAGATTATACCTGCAAGATTCTTTAATATCAGTTCATTGGGCCCTGGATACTTAAATTCATTTAAGGTTGCTAAATGCTGTACTATCTCTTTTTCCTGGGCAGAAGCCCTCTCATTTTGTCCTTTATTCTTCTTGCATCAGTTTGGGTGCTGTTCTCTGATTGTGAGAAAAACAAAGGGTCAAAGTAAGAGTTTAACAGTTCTGCCTTCTCTTTGCCATTTCTGAGTAATTCTCTGTCCTTTCTATAAAGTGCTATTATTTTCTTATACTTTCTTATGCTTCAAGTGTACCTGAAGAATCTTTCTTTGTTTTTTTAAAAACATCTCTCTTGCATTTTGAGCATTAGTCTTCTTAATCTTCCCCTACAAATACTGACCATCTCTAGCTATTCTTCCTTGGTGATTTGCCTCTCATCCCACCTCCCATATATGTCTCTTTTAAACTGTAGCTAATCTGATAGATCTTTATGCAGCCACCCTAATTTCTGTGGATGTCTCCTATATTTCTTCCTTATAGGAATAGATTGTGATGGTGCTTAACGTATAGTGCTGTTTCTTTTGAAGACATTATACCTTCAGTCACTACATTCCAGTCATGAGTCTCATCCCATCAGTTTTTGGTAATGCTATTAAATCACAGTTGTCTTCCTGTGTTAGAAGTTTCAGCTCAACTTGTATCATCCACTGCTGCTTCTTTGTTATCCTTTTCCCCTCATGCTCTTGCAATGTCACCCCATTTCCTGATTCATTCCTGACACTCCTGCTTGCAGTACTTGTTATCTTCCTGTCCTCCAGAAAATTGCCTCCCTCCCCCGGTTAATTCAGCTGAAAGCCCTCCTGAACAGATTGGCCAATTTCCTAGAAAATATGCTTTTCCCATAAACATGCAACATGTTTGCCAGTAGTCCTTTTTTATGGAAGCACAAGCCATGATTCAAGAAGCCAAACTTTTCCTGAGAACACAGTCCACACAACCAGTAGTTCACAACCAGTAGTTCACTTCAAGGCCGGGCCTTGAACAGGAAGGAATGACCAAAAATCCACCTGTGTTCCAAGATGTTATATCTTCCTTTCCCAGAGCTTCACAGTCAGTTGCTGAAGACAACTGACAGCATCATTGGCAGCATCATTTTTCCCATGTGGATAAGAATGAAGGGTTGATGCTCTTGGGTCCTCACGTTCTGGGCAAGCTTTCTATCACATCCTCAGGGAGACAAGCCATCTTGTCAGGTCTGCAAATTGTTACCTCTGTCCTTCTTAGTGGAAAATCACCTACTACTACTACATGTCCTTTCCTTCTCTGAGAAATGGCAGAAATTATTCCATCCAAAACATCTTCCATAGCAACTTCCATGCTCTCTCTGGTGATTGGGATTTTGAGCTGTGGAAAGAGGCAGCCTGGACTACTGTCTATGTGGAGGTTCTGAGCCTCTGTTCCAGCAGCTCAGTATCACTATTCATGTGGAGGGTCTGATACTGGTTCTGTAGCTCCAAAGGCATAGCATGGATCCTGACGATCCTGCTTCTTTGAGATACATTCCTCCACAAACTTACCTACTGGACTAAGTATTTTCTTCCACCCTACAAGCACTCCTTTCTGTTGTTCTTCCAGGACAATCTGCTAAGCGGATTCCATAAGTGTTTCATTTTCTCTTATGAGAAAACGTGTGGGGACTGAGGCCTCAAACTGCTCCACTTTCTCTTCTAGCAGGGCAACCAGCTTGTGAAGTAGTCTCCTAGATCCTCATGCAGGAAAACAAACATTCCACTGGTGTTGCAGGTCACTGAAAGTGCTCTTTGGTCCTATATAGGCAGTGGAATAGCAATCCTGGCCTCCTTCTTAAATTCCCATGCAAAATGCCCATTAACTCACCATGTTTGCAAGCTCCTGGTCATGAGCTCCCAGGAATTCTTGAGTTTCGATATAGACCCCAATACACATGCTAACAAAATATCAAGAAAGGACACAAACAAACTCCAAACAGCTCAGACAAACAACCAGCCTCAGATCAACAGACACAGCATCATCATCTCTCATTTCTTCTACACAAAATGTCCCTGTTTACTCATTATGTCTAAAGATCCTGGTCACAGTATGTGAGCATATAATACCATGCATGTTTAACTACACTGCTATAGAAAGTTACTATGCATCTTTATACAAGAATAGTACCAAAATTAATCTCTGCGGGTATTTGACATCTTTTTGAAGTGTCTCACAAATATTTTCTTTAAGTAACAGTGCAAGAAGTATAGATCTCACAACTTAAAAATACTAGCAAAAGCACTTTATTGTGAACTTGAAGCCTTTCATTTCTTAGCCCTCACTCCCACTGAAACCAAGCCTAACCACATTGATCTGAAATGGATCTAAAACCAATTACTTACTTTCAATTTAAAGAAGGAAAAACACTTACCCTAGCTCTAACATATTTCTTGACAGTCAGTTTTTGGAAAAAAAAAGATTGAAAATGTTTTAGAGTTAATTAGGAGGCAGATGGAAGGAAAGAAAAGAAAACAAAAGCATAAAATATCTGTATTTTCCAGTAAGGCTTTTTCATTAACAAGAAGAACAAGAATGATAACATTAATGCAAACTAAAAAGCTAGATAATCCAAATTACAGCCTTATATGTATATAGGAAAACATAGTGGTTCTCCAACAAACTCAACATTCATGCTGTAACAGAAAACTATTTTAAGATGGAAACACTTCTCACAGTGGGGCAAGAGAAGGAGAGAAAAGTGCATAAGCCTGAGGCTCATCATTAGTCAAGCATAGAATGCTAGATAATAGTTTAAAATGATATTCAAAAATTATTTGAAGAGGCATTAAATATAAAGATGCCTGATCCTTACACCAGGAAATCATTAACTGAGCAATGCCTTGATTTCAATTACAGTTTTCCAACTTGTTAACGATTCTTTAACTTCTCAAATATTGTCCTACTTTAAGATTCATATTACCATCGCTTGTTCCAATGGAACAACTTGTTGGTTATGTATCATCCGAATATTATTTGCATGTCCTTTTAAAGCATTTTCCAGTGCTCCTTTGGGCTGCAAACATAAACAAATATTTAGTTCACAGGTGACAATTCTTATACTACACAAAAGACCCTCCTTTTTCAAAGAACTGAGTAATTTCTTATATATTATCCTTATACAAGATAATGCCATCAAATTTAATGAAATATTTTGGCCAAAATTCTTCTTTTTTAATTTAACAAGGGTGACAAAAAGGAAAAGGGGAATTGAGGTTAAATGGGGAGAGGAGAAACAATAACATACTAATGTCCATTCTATACATATTGCCATATCAAAATTCCAAATTACTCTTTTTACTATTTTCTGCCTTCCAGATTTAAGTTCTCATTTCAATATATGCTCTTCATATGCTGCCTGTTGACTCAGTCCATTTGTAGAATAAGTCCCATCTTTCTGTTGCCTTTTGTACAGGACAGTCCTTCATCACTTCCGATAAAATGTCCTTTTCCGCTGTTTCCCGTATCTTCTCTATAAGATCTTCTTGTTTCGGTACTATCGGATTTTTCCAATTTTTGGCATAGAGAATTCTGGCTGCAGTAACTATGTATATAACTACATATTCATTTGTCTTTTCTATGTTATCAGGTATCAAACTCAATAGGACAAAATTCTAATGATGGCTGCATAAGATTTGCATAATTTAGGTAAGGTAAAAGTTCCCCTTGACATTTAATCCAATCATGTCTGGCTCTAGGGTGTGGTGCTCATCCCCCTTTCCAAGCCATAGAGCCAGCATTTGTCTGAAGATACTTTCCATGGTCATGTGGCCATTGCGACTAGACACGGAATGTCGTTACCTTCCCACCGAGGTGGTATCTACTCGCATTTTTACATGCTTTCGAGCTGCTACGTTGGCAGGAGCTGGGACAAGCTACGGGAGGTCCCTCCATTGCATGGATTTGATCTTATGACCACTGGTCTTCTGACTTTGTAGCACAGAGGCTTCTGCGGTTTAACCCGCAGTGCCACCACATCTCCTCTTTTACCTGTATTCAAAACCATTTCCTATATGCTTATTAAGGAAAACTACTTTATTTTGCAATACTAGGAAGCAGGTAAATTTTTACATTCATTCTATAACTAAGATATACATTTGTCTTGTTTTTCCTTTCAAGGCAATGTACCATTATTTTTTTAGAAGAAAGAAAGGTGCAATGGTGCCTACTATTGAGATGTTTGATTACAGAAAGATATCTATTAAAAGATAGACCAATTACATGATGTGATTTCCTCCCTAGAATGAGTGGTTGAACAGAAATTTAGAAATACAGAACCTCTTTTCTGGTTTATATGAATAACTAAATGTATTTGTTGAAAGTAGTGTTCTTTCTTCATTCTTTGTTTTTGTTTGCTTTCATTTTTTTTAAAGTGGAAACACAGATGCCTAGTCTCCCAAAAATAAAAAATGGAACCACAAAACTGAATGCATGAAACTAATGAATTAAAAAGATCTTCACAGCTTTGCTTCTCAATATGTTATGGGCTGAAGCTGGGTCTTTATGCATGCAAAAGAGTTCACATCTCCTCTTACAAAATTTAGTTCTGCGAACATGGAGGATCAGACCAGAAACCTTTCAACATCAAAGCCAAATTCTCAGTAAAGTGGCAAGATATTTGGCATTGCAATTGAAAGCATATAAGCTTTGCATTCTTTTGATGCTACTGGTTGGACAAAACTCAGGGAATGGCAAATGAGGGTCTGTCCAGAGAAGGTATATAGATTGGTATTTGGACTGCTCAAGGTACAGTTTGGGTCAAACTAAATTGTATCAGCCACATGTGTTTCTACTTAGATGAACACATCCTGCCCCTTTAAGGGCTGCCCTACTACTTTCTAATACAGGAATAGGAGGCTCTGGGTTTGTTTGTGTTTTGCAAGATTCGGCACTTCTAATTATTGTGTTGTGTAGCCTGTGTAGATGGCTAGTTCACACCCAAATGGAGCTGTGGGTTGCCTTATCCCAGGTGACACCTCTTTGACATATTTGCTGAATAGTGACATTAAAAGGGAGGACAGAGAAACACCCTCCTCTATTTTTATGTTTGTTTTTAAATATTTTCCTGAAGATCCAGTGCAGTTCCAGTATCATGCTAAGTTGATGCATTGCTCTTTCAACATGCCACTATTTAAGAAGAAGAAGAAAAAGGAAAAGAAAAGAAAAGAAAGCCCTTGAGGCCCACTCAGTGATGCCTATGAGAAAAGGCGAGTAAGGGGGCTATGTTGACTCCAAGGGCTCCACCCCCACAAAGCAACGCAGTCCCAGCAGAGCTGAGAAGAAAGGCAGAGAAACAAAGGGAGTTACGTCGCTTCCATCTCCCCAACCTTCACTCCAGTATTTTCACCTTGTGCTACTACTGTCACTGCAAGCTCGCTGCAGTGCTGCTATTTTCTTCTGCTGCCTCCTTACTTGTGAGTAAACCTTACTCATGACTGAACTGGGTATATCTGTACATGAGTAAACCAGCGATACAAAGGCTTATGTGAACTTTTTCACAGGAGAATAAACATCTCCAGTGTGAACAGAAGGATTGTTGAAGTGAGAGATAAAATAGATCACACTGAAGATAAGAACCTTTTAAGTACAAAAGAGACTCCTTCAAATTCCCCTCTCTGGACAGGCCTTTCCTGGGAGCCAATGTGTGCATTTTACTCTTGAAACTGAACACCTTCCTCACTGACAGTTGGGATCTGTAAAATGTCAGAACCCACTGAGCAGTAAAGGCTTTAAATTTACACACTGTATGCATTCTATCTAATACAGTAGCACCCCCTCGTCCACAGGATCAGTATCGACTCATTCACTTAACCATGGTCTGAAAACATTAAATATTTAAAAAGATCAGAAAAAACTATTTTCACATACATTGCCAGAACCAGCCATTAGAGGAAGCCAGAGATCATTCTATGAATACTCGTTAGTTAACAATACATAACATGATATCTGGTGTTCTCTAGCGGCCAGTTCTAGTAATGCATGTGAAAATATTTTTTCCTGATTTTTTTCTTTTACCATGCTATCTGTCTGTCTGTCTGTCTGTCTGTCTATAGTTTGCTATTATCCATCTTTTTCAGTATCCAAGTGAGGGCTTGGAACCAATCCCAGTAGATATTGGGATCCTATTGTATTCTCCAACATCTCAACAATGGAGTGTTTACTAGGCAATAAAGAAAAATTCATATGGAACCCACAGAAAAGTTCTGTCAGGTCATACACTGTTGTTAGTATTTCATTCCAAACAGACAAAACTCACCAGCTGGTCTGCTCTGGCTTCTAAATCATTAGCAAATGACAAGAGATCCACTTTGGTAACACTCTTATTGATCTGCACAAAACAAAACAGAAGTCAACATCACTGCAGCATTTAGAAATTGTGTTTTTCAGACCTCTGGTAGCTTAGCAACAAGAGAGCTGGAGACAGATTTTACACTTCCAGCTAAAGAGGAAGGAGTCACATAGTGCCAGGATTCACAGTGGTTTGAATCAGAGAGTTTTGATCTCTCTGTACAGTAGGAATGGACAGGTCATTCCACTGTTTCTGAGGCAGATGCACTGAAATGCACCTCCCTTTGTAAAGAAACTAATTAGAAAGGGAGAGAGACCCAGAAGACTAACCAAATACCCTAGTTGCTTCTTCAAGTCACACCAGTGCACGCAGCAAGTAAAGTCTGAGAAAGATCACTTCAGAGCTTTAAATGTATGGATTTATTTCAGGGTTGCCACTGAAATTTTATTTTTCATTTTCCTGAATTTCCCTGACCAACATATGTCTATTTTCCTGACCACCATTCAAATATAACCACAAGTTTAAAAATGAATAGGTCGTGCTGCATTAATGCAAGTCTTAATGAAATGTTCCACTCTACAACTACACTTCTCTACTGCAAAAATATTTGTCAAAGTAAGAGATTTAATATCAGCTTCTTTAAACATTAACTGCAGCAACATCTGTTTTGCAATTGCACCAAAAATTACACCAAGATACAAACTTCAATTCAAGCAAACTCTGAAAGCTAACAAATGACATAACGTTTTTGTTATCATTTTAAAGGTACACTAAAAATTGTATAAATGTTCTATCTAAAATGGTTTCTCTGAAGCCACATTACAAAACGCATAGTTTCAAAATTGCAGTAATAATCAAGTTAAAAATGAGAATACATGTAATGTGGTTTTAAAGAAGAAAGATCTAAATATAAAACTATCACTTCTACAGTTTTCTCTTATTTTGTAACTCAGTTTCTCATCATTTCCTCATTTCCTCTTCCATTTTGGCTTCTTCTCTCAGTTTTTTTTAGCATTTTCTAGATGTATAATTTGTCCCTCAAATGTCTTCTTTTCTTTTTGTTGCTTATGCTGTTTAGCCTCCAGGTGTTCTGTGTAGCGTAAATGAGCATGCCTATCTGACTGCAACAGATTCATATCAATTACAACAGATGCAAGTCCTCCACAGTTCAAGACAGCATCCTAAAGCTGACATTGACAGACAACAGTTTCTTCATGCAGGTTCTCAATTAACATTGACTTATTAACTGAAAACCCACTTTTAGTGAAATATTGTCTTTATTTATTAAAGACAATAAATAAATTGTCTGTATTTATTGTAATAAAGACAATTATTACCATTGTTTTCTTTATCATTTGTTATAATTTTGCAACTGATAAAGAAGACATGCATTCTTCTGAAGAAGGTCTTTAGTAGTAGCAGTTTGAAGAAAAACACTTGTTAGATACTGTGTGGAAACTTTATGACAGTAATCATCCTAAAAACAAACCACTAAATCCATCTGTCCCTTTTGAACCACCTTATTCAAAGCTTCATCAAAACAGATAACTAATGTTTGGCATTGTTTCAGCTGTTTCAGTGAAAGATCAGAGAAACATTGTGCCAAGCCAAAAGCAACAGCATACATTGCTTTTGTTTTTCCAAGACGAAACTGCTGAGCTATCTGGCTATCTGGGAACATTCACTTGAATAACTCACTGATGTTGTTACAAGAGTTCAATGACATCTTCATCACCAGTTGCAAAGTCCACAGGTACTCTGCTGTCCTAACACAGTCCTTGATTACATAGGCAACCATACTAGTTTGTGTGGTGGGTAATTCTTTGCCATTTTCATCACTCTGATCATGTTTTCCAGTTTTCGAAAGGGTCTTCACCCTCTCTGGTTTTACTATCTGAACTTGTACTTGGCTTTGGACCAAAACAAATTGTGATCGACTATTGACTTGATTTAATTTTTAGCTTCTTCTGATGTAATGGTCCTTATGTATGAGACTCCACAGCTCTAATTCCTATATTACTTAGCTCAAAGGTTTTGTTGCACACTTTACAATAACCTTTGCATTTGTCTCCAGCAACTGGTGATAGCCATGGAATGAAGTCAGGATGAATTTTGAAATCCAGCCATTGCATATTAACAACTTTCCTCTGAGAAGCCATCTTCAAAATGTGGTTTTGTTAGCAGATTTTCTGGCAAGTAGGGACTTTCCAAAGATGGGAAAGTGTCACCTTCACTTTCTGGTTCCAGGAAGTGTACTGAACAGAACAGTAGCAAGAAAGAATAGTGGAGATTAAATGCTTGCAGATCATTTCTGCAATCTAGAGAAGTAGGCAAACCTCATTTGCAACCTTTATGCATGGGAGAAGTCAGGGAAGAGGGTGAGAGAGCTGGTACTCTGTAAATTCCACCAGGAACAAGCAATCACATAGGAAAAACATATTTTGTATGGTGCGGAGTAGAAAGTGCTAGTTGACTGTGAAATCCAAGAGCAGCAAAACTCATCTGCAACTCTGTGCTGGCTTCAGTAGGAGACAAAATGTCCGTTCCACATACAAGCATGACTCCAAAACATGCTTAACTTTATATGTAAGTTAAATGCAGTACTAGCAGGAAGCATGAAAGCAGTTAGATGTTTAAAGTTTGCATCTTGCTAAATGTTTAAACTAGCCTTGCCTTGCAAATGCTACAGGTAGACCTTGTGTAATGCTACAAGAAGATGTCCTGGAAAACCCAGAGAGTGTGGTTGCTGACCTTGAGCCAGACACCCTGGAGAGTGAAGTCAAGTGGGCCTTAGAAAGCACAGCTAAAAACAAGGCCAGTGGAGGTGATGGCATTCCAGTTGAAGAATTTAAAATCTTAAAAGATGACGCTGTTTAGGTGCTACACTCAACAGGCCAGCAAGTTTGGAAAACTCAGCACTGGCCAGAGGATTGGAAAAGATCAGTCTACATCCCAATCCCAAAGAAGGGCACTGCCAAAGAATGCTACAACTACTGTACATTTGCACTCATTTCACACACTAGCAAAGTTATGCTCAAAATCCTACAAGGTAGGCTTCAGCAATATGCGGACCGAGAACTCCCAGAAGTACAAGCTGGATTCCGAAGGGGCAGAGGAACTAGAGACCAAATTGCTAACATGCGCTGGATTATGGAGAAAGCCAGAGAGTTCCGGAAAAACATCTACAACTGCTTCATTGACTACACAAAAGCCTTTGACTGCGTGGACCACAGCAAACTATGGCAAGTTCTTAAAGAAATGGGACTGCCTGACCACCTTATCTATCTCCTGAGAAATCTATATGTGGGACAGGAAGCCACAGTTAGAACTGGATATGTAACAATTGATTGATTCAAAATTGGGAAATGAGTACAACAAGGCTGTATATTGTCCCCCTGCTTATTTAACTTATATGCAGAATACACTGTGCAAAAGGCTGGACTGGATGAATCCCAAGCAGGAATTATGATTGCCAGAATAAATATCAACAACCACTCTGATGGCAGAAAGTGAGGAGGAATTAAAGTACCTCTTAATGAGGGTGAAAGGGGAGAGTGCAAAAAATGATCTGAAGCTCAACATAAAAAAAACACCAAGATCATGGCCACTAGTACCATCACCTCCTTGCGCATGGAGGCAGTGACAGATTTTATTTTCTTGGGCTCCATGATCACCACAGGTGGGGACAGCAGCCATGAAATTAAAAGTCACCTGCTTCTTGGGAGGAAAGTGATGACAAACCTGGACAGTATCCTAAAAAGCAGAGACATCACCATGCCAACAAAGGTCCGCATAGTTAAAGCTATGGTTTTTCCTGTAGTGATATATGTAACTGACAGCTGGACCATAAAGAAGGTTGACTGCCGAAGAATGGATGCTTTTGAATTGTGGTGCTGAGAGTCCCCTGGACTGCAAGGAGAAGACACCTATCCATTCCAAAGGAAATGAACCCTCAGTGCTCACTGGAAGAACAGATCCTGAAGCTGAGGCTCCAATACTTTGGCCATCTCATGAAAAGAGGTGGAAAAGATCCTGATGTTGGGAAATTGTGAAGGCAAGAGGAGGAGGGGGTGACAGAGGATGAGATGGCTGGACAGTGTCACCGAAGCTGCCAACATGACTTTGACCAAACTCTGGGAGGCAGTGGAAGACAGGAGGGCCTGGCGTCCTCTGGTCCATGGGGTCACGAAGAGTTAGACACAACTAAATGACTAAACAACAGGCACACCTTGGAAATCATGCAGGGACAGAGCTCAATAAACACACTAGACTGGTTGCTGGGCGTAGATCTGAGAAAAACCTGGAGCTAGGAAAGGGCATCATTAAGTTTTACTTTTATTCTGCTACTTCTCTATTCCAGTTGCCACAAGAACAGATCATGCTCTTGCAGCAGCAGGCCAAAAATCCACTTCTTGAAATGTTGGAGTCACAAACTCAGCAGGCTGATGGACTTTTTGGTGATCACCAGATAAGTAGGATAGCAAAGAATCTCTTAGAAATAGAGGTTAAAGAAGTCAGCCACACACACAGGGATGTCTGCCAGCAGTGCTCTTGGTGAGCGACTAGTCAAGGAAGCAGAATGAGAAGACTGATCTCCCAAGGATCTCTGCCCAATGAATTTTGTCCTGCCCCCAGGAGGATTGCGCTTTTATTAACATTACAAGCTCACAGATAGAGACAGTATACAGATAGGTTACAGAGTTCAGATAGGGCAATGTTTACATCATGCCTTTAGGATTGGCCTAGGGAAAGGCAATTAAGCAAGCTCTCTATCACCTATGAGAAAGAGGAAGAATGGCGGTAACTCCCTCTCTCAGAAGCAGCTATGACATCATCCAGGAGACTTTTCTCTACACTGAAGAATCAGCCAACAGCTTAGCAACTTTGGGGAGAAGCGATTCCTCACATTGAAATATATTTTAATCACAATTTCCCTGACCAATGTCCATTTCTCTGACTTTCCCTGACCTTCTAGAAAGTATTTACAGTTTGAAATAAATGCATTTGGGTAAGTTGCTGGCTGGACAGGTACCCACTCACATCTGCTAGTAAAATCCAAGTCGAATATGGTTAGAGCAACAAAAATGAAATATGTGACCTACTGAATGATCAGGTGATACCTCTACTCTCTTGAGTTCAGGAACAAGAAATTACAGCAGAAGCTCTTTAATTCGTTAAACCCTTTATGCATGAATTAACAATGAAAAGACCACCAAAGACACACATGGCAAAATGTGTTCGAATAACCAGTTCTCATGTAGTATTCACTATTCTATTTAATCCGTCCTTCTTTTTAAATTAAATATAAACTTTCCACTCCCAAAGTTTATTGTTCATATTGTTTATTACTATTGTCTTTGTGTTGCATTTTTTGTAACTTGCATTAGAGAAAACAAACCATTAAAAGTTCAGACTAATTCAGATGAACCTGTCTGTATTGGGACCTTTACTGGAAACAAAATTAATATTGTAAATCTAACAAATTTGGAGGTTCATTGTGTATGTAATCTACTGCATATAGAATCTTGAAATAGATATCTCTCTGAGCCACTCTCTTACCCCATGGCTTACCTCTGATAAGTATGCAGCAAAATTTATCTCATTTATTCCTGAAGCACTGAAATTCATCAGATTCTGCTTTCCAGTTCCATCCAGCAGAACTATATTGCTTAGATTTACATTAATATGCTTGATTTTAAGTGATACATCTTCTGCATACTATAATAGAAAAAGCAAAAGGATGCAGTTTTCCTTACTTTCATCACTTACATTTAAAATATCCAGAATGGTGAGTCGGGGCATTTGATTGTCACACCAGAGACACACAAGACACATCTACATAAGTGGCAACCTTGTAGTGGGGATCGCTCATTTTAACTTTACGTTTTACAGGCCAAAATTCCATTACATAATGTATGCAAAGTTGTAAATTTCAGTTCATTCCTCGTTGGTAAATAAAGAGCCCCACCATGATTCTTGAGTGAGCACACACATGCTGACTTTTTGTGTGTACATACACCCCTGAGAATTACTCTAAGAGCTGTTTATTTATCAGTAAAGAATGGACCAGACTTATGACATTGGTTATATTATGTGACAGGATTTCAGCCACTGATTTCTAAATTATTATTTCTTATTTTTTTTAATTGACTTGCTCTTCATTCCTTATGCACCTTAGTATAGAGTGCAGTGATTATATAACAATTATAATAATATTAAATGCAAAACACAGTAGGGCCCCCTTACCTATGGGATCAGCATCCATTGAATCACTTATCCATGGTCTGAAAATATTAAAAATTTTAAAAGGAAAATCCTAGAAATTTATGTTTATAAAGATGAAGTTACCAGAACTGGCCACTACAGGGAGCCAGGGACCATGTTATGTATAATGTTTGCTATTTAAAAAATAAACATTCGCTATACTCTGCATTTTTCAGAACCCACAGAAGGGTTTGGAACTGTTCCCTTGTGAATACAGGGGTCTTACTGTACAAGAAAAAACAAAACAAAAAGAAAAGTAAAAATACAATAATGAAAACAAATGAGAAGCAACTGATACAATAAACCAGAACATCCTGGCCTAAGATTCCTTGATGAATGGACCAGTTTTAATGTGACACCAAAAAGACTGCAATGCTAATACAAGACCTATTAAAACAGAAGACATTCAAAATTGCTGCCCACAACAGAAAAGGCTCTCTCACATGCCATTACATAATTAGGTATTTGAACAACAGCCTACCTTTCAGACCTTAAAGACATAATCAAACTGGTTCAGGAAGCAACATTTCTTCAGATGTCTAGGTATTAATTTGCTTAGGGCTTTAAAACTAAGCACTAGCACCTTCAGATGGGTTCAATAGCATGCAGACAACAAAGCAGTGCCTTCCAAATTAATATAATGGGATTCTATATGGTTGCATTAATTAAAGTCCTAGTATCCAGATATTTACAGATGTTCTTGAAGGGTAACCCCACATACAACACATTGCAGGTTTTCAGAGCACAGACTGGGAATCATGGGATAACTGAGTTGGAAGGGGCCTATAAGGTCATTGGAGCACTCACTGTAAGGAAATGAAAGAAAACTGGGAATTGTAGTCATGCAAAATGGAGTTTTTTAGGTTCTGTGTAAGATGAATTTAAAAGATAAGTTTTTCAGGAGATTGTTGTGCAGACTTGTTTGTCAAAGTCACAAGGTCCAGGAAAAGAAGATGAAACAAAAGACTGAGATAAGACACCTGGAGCCTGGAGCATGAGAACTTTGGGCAGTGATCAGAGTGATCTGAGTTACACACACTTAAACTTAATTGGGTGTCAGCTTGGAAGTGTAATGAAAGTGGTCCTAAAGAGTTGTAAAATGAGAGGGTTTGTATATGTAGAATGAACACTCCATGAATGCTGTGGAATGTGAGACCGAGAGGCTTGTTTTTCTTTTAAAGACGAAGGGGGGGAATAGCCCAGCTCCTAGATGCCAACATGTAGACATTGAGCAAAGATGATTACCTAGCTGTTTTTATTTTAATTAGAAATTGTAAGTTTATTTAAACATTGTAATAGTCTGGAGATGCTCAGTGCTTATGCTTTTAAGCTACAACTATGTGCTAATGAATCTACTTTATTTTCTTAATAATACAAAAACAATTCTTCAACAAGGACCTAGTCTCTTGATACAGCAAGAATATCTAAATCCAGTGTGGGGAAAATGTATGCTTTTACAATGTATATATCTGTGGCAGTAGCAGACATTGTGCTTGGGCACGCAGGTCACGTATACAGCGTGCTAGCTTCCAGTAAAGGATGATTCATTAACCTGCTTTTGTATCTAGGATATTACCTGTCTCTGGGTAAATTGTATTAACTTACTTGTGTATTTAAGGTGTTATCTGTCTCTGTTTACCCTGCTCGTGTATTCAGGAATGTTTACCCTGCTTGTGTATTTAGGGTTTACCTGCCTCTGTTTACTGGCCCCGCTGTTTACCCTACTTGTGTATTCAGGATATTACCCCCCTCTGTTTAGAATGGTACTTGATTAACTTGTGCAAAGGTAGTAGAAAACAATACAAGGGGGCACGGCGAAGGATCACGGGAATTCCCGCTGAACAGCTGCTGCACGGCATGCTGTTTTGATCATCCGGATCCCATCCTGAAACCACACTCGAGTGCTTCGCCTCTTCCTTTCTCCTTGCTGGTCAAGAAGGGGGGAAGGCTTCATCTGCAGATCCTGACAACTAGGCTTCATCTGCAGATCCCTACAACAAGGCTTCATCTGCAGATCCCGACATATGGTGCCTTCTCTGAGGACAACTTTTGACGACCACCCACTCATCTCAAGGAATGGTCTAAAATAAGAAGATTAGAAAATACAGGTGTAGAAATAAAATTGATTTTGAAGAAGAGGAGAAAATGTTGGAATAATTATTGAAATGTCTGAAATTCCAAATTATTACAATGATCGTTTTTTTTCTGTCCTGTCTTATAGTTCACTTATGGCTCTTTGGCTCCAGGGGAGATTCATACATCTCAGCATCCTTACTTGTACCACATGGTCCCCATTGAAGACCATCAATACATGGGGATAATCCGGTTGCTTCAGCATTTTAGATGGATATGGGTCGGGATGTTTGTGGTAGATAATGAGAGCGGGGAGCATTTTGTGCAGACAATGGAGCTACTTTTTTCTCAAAATGGAATATGCTCAGCTTTCGTACAAAGAATTCCACAACAACCTAATTTGGATGACTTGGATGAAACAGTTGTTGAAGTCCTCCTGAAAATATATGAACCTTTAACTAATCAATGCCCCATGGCTTGTCCCTAATGACTGCAAGGCCTTGATAAAAGATTCCTTTCCACCAGCAGAAGGACTCCTTTGCCTTCAAGAATGGCAAGATTTGGCATTTAAGCAAGCAGGAATTAATGTTGGTGCAGCAGGAGTAGCTATAAATGCATTCCAATCAGCAAATCAAACTGCCTGCCTGCCTCCCTCCCTGGCTGGCCTGAAAGAAGCAGCCCCCTCAGTGTCTCCACCTGGTCAGCAAAAGTTGCATGATATCCCAGGGGATCTGAAGGATTTCTTTGATGTCAAAGCATTTGGTGCATCATATAAGGAAGGGGAGGAGGAAGAAAATCCAAGGGGAATAGATGTTACACTACAACATGCTTGCCTTGAAGTGTCACTATCGCCATATGTTCTTGGACTTGCAATGGCAATTATACAGATCACCAAAGAATGCCTCCCACCTAGCCAGTAAGATAGATGGATGCTGTAGGTGGAATGGAGTGAACCAGCTCCTTAAAGTTTTCCCCCATCACCTTCCAATCTGGAGAAAGCATTGTTTATACTCAAGCCACTTGTAAGGGATCCAAATGATGTCCTGGACACTCTATGTTCCATTTTAGAACTACAAATCCTATCACACCTTGCATTGCTGAGTTTCCTGAGTAGCTCGGCATAATGGGACTTCATACAAGCCTGCATTCCTGTCTCTGCCTCTGTGCCTTCAGGAGTAACAGTGTCAAGATCTTAAGAGTGACTCCAGGCATTCTGCCTGCTATTTTGGCTACTCCGTGGCTGCTAAATGCAGTTCTCTACACCCCTGAAAAGGACAGAATGCTTGTTCCAGATGCTGCCAATTGTCAGGAACAGATACTTAACTGTTTGTTTTTCTTTTCCGCAGGGTGATGTTGATAAGAGTGTTTGACATGCCTTTCCTCTGTCTTATCTGTTAGCCAGATCTTAAAAGACAATGTGCATTGAATTTCACAGAGAAGCTTAGTTCTAATGCTCAGAATTCGCTGCAGCTTTTTTAGCCTTTAAGTTTATGAATTTAATTTTGTTGTAGACAAAATATGTTTATAAGTTTTTTCTTTTGCATTTTTTCCCATATCTATATCCTTCTATTACATTTGATTGTGGGTTTCTTCATGGAGAGACTTTTAGCTCACTGTGGCTCTCTCCTAAATATGTCACAAGCTTTCCTTGAAAACTTTGAAAACTTTGTCTGTTTATGCCTGAGACAGAGAAGCAAATTATTCCCTTGAGGGACATACACAAGATAAGGGACATGGTTTCCAAAATTACCCACATCACTTTAGCACATGAGGCTTTAGGGCCAATTCAACATAATTAGTGGCCCAGAAGTACATTTACTGGGACATGTATGGAAGCTACTGCTCAATCCATATCTACCACATGCATTCCTCAAATCAAGTCTCATACAAGAAATTCATGATGTGTGTGTGTGTGTTCGGTGGGGAATCACTGAAGCATAGGATTTCCTTTAATTCCACAGGGCAAGCAATTGTGGAAAGAGCACATTTAACTTTTAATTCTCTTTTGCAGAAGCAACCTGAGCATGCCTTACAATTTTCTACTTTCTCCTCATAGCAGTCCGCTGTGTTTATGTATCTAAATATTAATCATGCACTCCTAGCAATGGAATAGTTAATTAGTGATCAATATGTTTTCTTTTTCTGAACATGATTATGTACTCTTGTTATGTATATTGTGTTTGCTTTAATCTACACTGTGATGCTGATGTCATCGGACTGTGCCATCTAATTCTCTTAGCCCTAAGCAGTTACCAGGCTGAATATCATATCCTCCATGAAGATGCTGCTTATGACTCGCTGATTGCGCAAAGATGGATTTTGCCGCCACTCGATGACTGAGCGACGTGGATCCCTAGATACAGAACTTTCTGACATGTATA